AGTTGTATGAGCCCCTAATAAAATGTGTTAAAAAAAGATATATAAATAAAAATAGTATATATATATATATATATATATATACATATATAAAGATAATTAATTATTCTGGTAGAAACTAGATAGACCGAGGCCAGAAATAAAGGATAGTTATTCATCATAGTGATGGCAATAGATACAATATCAGCATTTACACCAATTCTCTAATTCCAAATGTCCATCGGGTAAAGAAACAAGGTCAGATGACAGCTTAATGAGAGGCATACTCCCCTACAGAACATGATTCTTTCATAAAGGCCACTAACATGCCTGGCCTTTGCTCCTGAATAAGACATGATTTCTATTTTACAATGCTGTTTCTATGCAAGCACACTTCAAAAGATAGTATGGAACGAAATTTGTCTAACAATTGTCTATAAATTCTAGAAACCAGACTCTTCGACTAGAACACCAGGGAAAATGAAAGTCACAGCTGCTCCTGCATTTCCGTGTCTGCCAGAAGAATATGTTCGGATAAAAGAACAGATGTTATTGCATAGTGGACATAACATCATTCAATATCAGATAAAAACTCTAGGTTCATTTTGTTACAAATAACTATTTTAGATATTAACAATTTGATGAACAGTTATTTTTTTAATTCATTTAACATTTAAAAATTCATGTAACACTACAATTATTCTGAACAAATAAGGAATGTCTTACTTTAAAATATAGAAGAACTATAGTGTCCACAGTCCAAATAGAAACTGTGTCACTTTGTTCCTTTTATCTTCTTTGAACCCTTGCCAAGTATTCAGTCCACAATGGAGTCTTCCAGTGGTCATTCCCAGTTTTGCAGGGCAGTAGCCTGGTTGTCCGACAAAGGGATCCACAGGATGAAGCAGCCTCATGTTGTTGTCTATCTGGCTTTCTTCTTTCAAAAATACACTGACTATTAAAAGAAGCCACCTGGTCAGTTTTCCTCCAGATTCTTTCATGATATGATCCATATGCTCCTGTTCTCTTTCTAATCTGTTCCTTTCATATTTATCTTCAAACATATCTTGGTCTTTCTTTTTGTTTGCCTCATTGGGGCTTTTGCGGGCCTGGAACTCAGCTGCTTCAGCATCTTCCTTCTCCCGTGACCGGCAGCTGTCTTCCCCAATCTGTGAGGTGTCTTTGTGATCTTTCGGTTTCTGAGTTCTCTGCAAGCCTGTGATGAATTCTATGCTCTGTTACACAATCTGAATTCATTCCTTGCTAAGAATTTTCATCCCTGATTGCAATAGCCTCTTTGTAGCTTTAAATTAAATGGTCTCACCCACTTCCTTTCTCCTGCCTTCTCCTCTCCAACCCAGGGACAAGGGAATAACAAGTGATCTAAAACCGATGGTGAGGAGGACATAGGATGCCTGTTGGGGCTTGATCAAGGGCACTGTAACCTAGAGGAATTACTGAAACCCAAATGGAGGCTGAGCATGATAGTGGAACAAGAGGAAAGTGAAAGGGAATAGAGGAAAGAACTAAGAGGCAAAGGGCATTTATAGAGATCTAAATACAGGCATGTACATATGTAATTATATTTGTATATGATGATGGGGAAATAGATCTATGTACATATATTTATAGGTTTAGTATTAAGATAGGAGATGGAAATTGGGCTTCTACTCAAGTCCTTCCTCAATGCAAGAACATTTTGTTCTACGAAACTGGCATTCCATGATGCTCACCTTCCCAGCATGATTGCTGAAGACAAAGTGGGTGCATAAGTAAATGTGGTGAAGAAAGCTGATAGTGCCTGGCTCTCAAAAGATATAGTGTTTGGGGTCTTAAAGGCTTGAAGGTAAACAAGCAGCCATCTAACTGAGAAGCAACAAAGCCCACATGGAAGAAGCACACCAGCCTGTGTGATCATGAGGTGTTGACGGGATCAGGTATCAGGTATCAAAGACCCAGGACAAAATGTCACATCATTGTGAATGAGGGGGAGTGCAGAGTGGAGACCCAAAGCCGATCTGTAGGCAATTGGACATCCCTTTACAGAAGGGTCGCAGGGAGGAGATGAGTCAGTCAGGGTGCAGTACAGCACCAATGAAACACAACTTTCCTCTAGTCCTTTTTTTTTTTTTTTAACATTTTATTAGGGGCTCATACAACTGTTATCCCAATCCATACACACATCAATTGTGTAAAGTGCATTTGTACATCGTTTCTCAAAACATTTTCTCTCCATTTAAACTCCCGACATTAGGTCCTCATTTTTCCCCTCCCTCCCTGCTCCCCCCTCCCGCATGAGCCCTTGATAGTTTATAAATGGGTATTTTGTTATATCTTGCCCTGTCCGACGTCTCCCTTCATCCACTTTTCGGTTGTCTGTCCCCCAGGGGGGAGGTCACACACAGTTCCATGTAATCGGTTCCCTCTTTCCTACCCATTCTCCCTTTACCCTCCCTGTTTTGCCACTCACACCACTCCTCTAGTCCTTTAATGCTTCCTCCGCCCCTACTATCATGACCCCAATTCTACCTTACAAATATGGCTAGACCAGAGCATGTACACGGGTACAGATAAGAGCTGGAAACACAGGGAGTCCAGGACAGATATAACTCTCAGGACCAATATTGAGTGTAGCCATACCAGGAGGAGAAAGGGAAAGTGGGGGGAAATAGGGGGAATCGATCACAACTATCTACCTATAACCCCCTCCCAGGGGGATGGGCAACAGAGAAGTGGGTGAAGGGAGACACTGGTCAGTGTAAGACATGAAAAATAATAATTTATAAATTATCAGGGGTTCATGAGGGAGGGAGGGTGGGGGAAAGAGGGGGGGAAATGAGAAGCTGATACCAAGGGCTCAAGTAGAAAGAAAATGTTTTGGAAATGATGATGGCAACAAACGTACAAATGTGCTGACACAATGGATGGATGGATGGATTGTGATAAGAGTTGTATGAGACCCCAATAAAATTATTTTAAAAAATAAAAAATGTTTTAAAAGGTCTCTGGCTTGTAAGTCATAGCATTAGTACATGGTAGTTTAAATTTTTCCTTTAGTTCTTTATGGACTGGTAGTCATTTTTCTTGATCTTTTAATTCATGGTACTAACATCCATTAGGTGTTAAAGGATCACGGCGTAGCCAAGAGTAATAATATAGTCACAGGAAACAAAAAGAAAACTCTTGGGTCTTTTCTTTGCACCTGCCTCGTCAGTTATTTTAAAGCTTCGTATGGGGCATCTGCTTGCTGCTTTTTGGTTAAAGAGCTTGTCAGAGGCTTCTCGTGAGGCAAATCTACTGTCACAGGGGCCTGACACTGGAGACCATTTCTGCCTTGTTCCCCACACGGTCTCTACCCAGCTTCCTTTATCCTGCGACTCATCCTCCTTTCTCACTTTCTCTTCACCTGGACTCTGTTTCTCCCCTTTCTTTTCCTTTTTCTGCTGTCAGTCCTTGTGTTTGTCTTTGCAGCAGCTTGAGTTGTGTCCCGAGCTGCCTATGGAGAGTTGAGTGACTTCGTACCCTCCCACTGTAGGCCAACTTCCAGGACTTCAACCCGTAAGTTTTGGTAAATGATTCTGCCTGTTCCTCGCATCATCTTTTGATACTTCCTGCATCATTAAATATGTTGCCCATGGAATCCTTAATATTTCAATTCAAGGCTTGATTTTTTCCTTCAGTTCTTTCAGTGTGAGATAAGCGGAGAGTATTACTTCCTCTCGGCTTTCTAACTCCAGTTCTTTGCACATTTTATCGGAATACTTTTCCTTGTCTTCTTGAGCTTCCTTGAAATGCTTTGCTCAGCTCTTCATCATTTCTTCCATTTGCAAGTTCCAGAATCTTTCCGACAACCATTTGGTCTTTTTATTTTAACTTTATTGTCTTTCTAATGACCTTTTGCTTTAATAACCATATATGATGGCCCTGATGTCACCTATAGAGTTCATCAAGTGTTCTGTCATTAGTGCTGAACTGTGTCAAATCTGTTCCTAAGATGTGCTCGAAATTCAAGTGTGATATACTCAAGGTCATATTTTGGCCCTGGCGGACTTGTTATAATTTGCTGTAACGTTAGCTTACATGTGAGCAATTGATGGCTGGTTCCGTAGTCAGCTCCCTGTCTCTTTTTGGCTGCTGACATTAAGATTCTCAGTTTTTACAGATGTAATCAGTTTGAATCAATACTTTGTATTCCGTCTGCTCATGTGGGTAGTTGCCATATTGTCTGCCTGCTGTTTCTTCTCTTTTGTTTCCAACATTTGCATTTCAATTGCCAATAATTATCAATACATTTTGAATCCATGCTTGATCTATTTCATAATGAAGAAATATGTAGAATTCTTGAATGTCCTTATTACTAACTTTAGTGGCTAGTGAGTAAATTTGAAAAATAGTTGTATTCACTGGACTTCCTTGTAGACATACAGATATTACTCTATCACAAGCAGCATCGTACTTCAAGACATATCTTGAAATGTTCTTTTTAAGTGAATGTGACATCAATTGCTCTTGAACCTGCCATTCCCAGCATAGTAAACCAGCTGACTGTCTGATCCAGAATGGCCAAGACCAGTCAGCTTTCAGTTCACTAATACCTAGGATATTGATCCTTTTGTTCCACTTAACTTTTTATGATTTCCAGTATTCCCAGATTAATATTTTATACCTTCCACCATCTGACTATAAATGGCTATCTGCCACTGTCTCTTCTCAATTTGAGTCATGTACACCAACAAAGGAAATTTCTGAGAGCTTTACTCCATCCACATCATTATAGTCAACTCTACTTTGAGAGGCAACTCTTTCCCAGTAGTATTCAGGGTGCCTGAGAGACTCATTTTCCAGCACTATATCTGACAATTTTACGTCACTATTCAGAAGGTCTTCAGTGGCTAATTTCTCGAAACGGAACAGCCTATTCCTGCCTTGGAGTATGTTCTTAGTCTGGAAGCTCCACTGAAAACTGTTCACAGTGACTGACCCTGCTGGTCTTTAGAATGCTGGTAGCCTAACTTCCAGTATCACAGCAGCTCGTAAGCCACAAGAGTATGACACACTGCAGACAAGTGATGGGTAAATGAAAAGAAAATGAATCCGCTATATTAAATAGTCTGGTTAGCACAAGTAGTTTGTAATTGGTTGCTAACCTGAAGGTTGGCAGTTTGAACCCATTCGATGACACTGCAAATACAAAGCCTGATAAACGGTTTCAGTAAAGACTGCAGCCAAGAAAACTCTAGCGGGAGTATAGGGCTATTCTCTAATACATGAGGTTGCCACGAGTGGAGGCCACCTCAACGGCAGCTAAGGACATCAGGTTTGTCCAGAGTAGGAAAGAGACCAAGATCTGATTCAGGGGCAATTTGAAGGGTTTTGATGATGAAGCACCGTGTTTAAAGGCTGGTTTGTTAACCCAAAGATTGATGACTCAAAACTACCAGGTACTTCATGGGGGACTGCAGCCTGGAAAACCCTATGATACTGTTCTACTCTGTCCTATAGGTGACCCTGAGTTGAAATGAACTTGACAGCAACGGGTTTGGTTTGGTTTGGTTTTGTGTTGAAGTAAACGAGGGATTATATCACAGGGGACTTACCTGTTTGGGATAACCATTCCAGACCTCCCACAGGTCATACGCCCAAGGCTTCTGAAGATACAAAGAGAAGAAACGTGTTTGTCAGGGTCAAAGCCTGATTTCAGCACATTAAAAAAAAGCTTCCTGATATCATTTATAAGAGACAAAGATGCACCATAATGTGCACTTTTACCATTCTCCTGATGCTATGTGGCTAAACATATTTACTCCTCTGAATCACTTCTAATAAATCTGAAAATTCACTAAACAGTGATATCTCAAGAAGGAAATAGTCTCAAACAAGTGAATATCTTTTCAGTCCATTTTCTACAAACCTTCAAAAAAAAACATATTAATTCTGTATCAAAAATTATTTCTGAGTCAAATAAATCACTGCTTCTATAGCAATAAAATTAAAAACTTGAAAGAAATATCTGAAAGCTAATTTTCTTTTTGAAAGTATATCTTAAAGGAATTCTCAGACGAGGTGGTATAAAAAGAAGATAAATCGTGAAGTGGTAGGTTTAAACTCAAGTATGTAATTACATTCACTATAAACAAACTAAGGAAACCTGGTGGCTTAGTGGTTACGCGTTTGGACCTCCAACTGCAAGGTCAGCAGTTCAAAGCTACCAGCTGCTCCTCCAGAGAACGGTGAGACTGTCTGCTCCTGTCAAGACTGACAGCCTGGGGACACAAATGACTCTATGGCAGTGAGTTTTGGTTTAAAAATAAAGGAATGAGACCAGTGTTAGAGAAACAGGGATAAATAAACACAGGTTAAGGCACCTGGGTGGTACTTTTTTTTTCCACTTAAAAAAAGAGTTTTATAGACATCATCATTATCATCTGTAGTACACCTTCTTCCCACTTTCATGATTTACTCCCCAATTCCCCCTCATCCTCCCCTGCATCCCCTGATAAACCATTGCATCAGTTATTGTCTCTACATATCCATTCTTTCTGTGCTTTGTGCACTGGGAAACCCAACAATATCATCGAGCAATTAACAGGTAGGATTTAAAAAATTAAAAACACATTCTAATCAAAGACATAAAATAGACAACTTACATCATAAAGAAATGCAACTCCAGCCACAGTCATCATTAAGTAAAATGCAAATCGCCAGCTGCCAAGAGAAAGAAAAGTCTGGTAAAGGCCACTGACCGGAGGAGAAAACCCGTTGGCATGGCATCGTTGGGAAAGAACACACATCCTGGGGTCAAAGGAAATTACACTGATATGCTGGCTGTCCCATTTACTACGTGTCTGCAAGCTTGGATAAAGCTTCCCGGGGGGTACGAGTGATTTGTACTCAGCTACTAACTGAACATCTGGCAGTTCAAGCCCTCACAGCACCATCTCAGAAGAAAGGCCTAGTAGCGTGCTTCTGTAGCATTCGAGCCCAGGAAACCCTGTGGCCCCCGTTGCACCCGGCCGGACGTGAGGCCACAATGAGGCAGAACCCATTCCACATCAAAAGGGTTTAACCTTGGGGAAGTCATTGAACTTCTTTCTTCATCTGTCAAACAAGGTGGGATAAAGCTTACCTCAAAATGTAAAAAGCATGAATGATAATTTGTGAAAATATCAAGCATATTTTGGCCTAGTATGAAGTGAACAATGATAACTGTTAATTATCATTAACATCAATGATATTAATACTATCATTAAAATACCTGGGTTAGTTCTCCCTCCAATAAATTGTGGTTGGTAATATCATCACCACAATACGAAAGAATCCAGTCTAATTACTTATTTTACTCCATTACTCCATTTAATTCCTAGTGAAAATATTTGTGTGTGTTCCAACTTTATCTTTGTCTACTAAAGGCATATTTTGAAGAAAAAAATTACTCAAGTATAAAAAATAACCTCTTTTATTAAAAAAAACTTAAATGACATATCACTTAATTGAAATATATGGACCATATTTAGATCCTAACATATTGATTACTTATGTACACAGGAAATGATATGTTGTCTGACATTTGCTTAAAAAAATAATCTGGAGAAGAGGAAAGAGGTAGGTGGAGTATAGATAACAAAAAAATTAACTTTTAATTGGGAATTGTTACAGCCAATGATGGGTGCACAGTTCACTATACTAGCCTTTCCAATCCTGTACATGTATACTAGTTTTCAAGGCAAAAATAATAATATTAAAAGCAATATTTGTCCCTTACATTTGCAAAATGCTGTCCCTAATATATCTGTGAAATTAGTAGGAAATAGGATTATAGCCAGATATCTATAGTAGATGAAAAACCACGTTCAAACAAATGAAGTAATTTCCCTAGTTGATGTGGCTGAGAAGTGGTAAAGCTGTAATGAAGTGCAGGTATTTGAACTATCGATCCAATAGTGTTCCCTGAATATTAATATTACTTCTAAGCTAATTTTTTTTTCATGACTTAGTTTGGCACTAGAAAAAAGTAGGGTTTAGTTACTCAGAAAAATGAACCATAAAAATACCTAAAGAGCATTGCCAAAGTTGAGACTTGTAAGCACTTGTTTTATTTATCCAGGTTTGGCATCTGCTTATATGCAGAAAATAGTTACATGTTTCACTGAATTAAAAAATATGTAGAAGATCTAAGACCAGCCAGCTGACAAATGAAGCTATGGGCTGGGGTGGTGTTATCTCATTACATTGATATTTTTTAATGCTATGTGAAGCACACCTGTGTTGTCTCATTTTAGCGTCACAAGAATATATGAAGGACAATAATTATCTTCTTTTTCCAGATAGTTGTTTAATTCTCAAAATAATTCAGAAAAATAAACTATATGAATACTAATAAGGAAACTGAGAGTGATAGTTAGGTTTTATGTCAATTTGACTGGACCAGGATTCTCAGTGGTTTGATAGTCGATGCCTAGTAATTCCTGCATGGTGTGACCTAGCGCAATGAAAGCAACCCCATCATGGGATCTGCTGGGGATTCTAAGAGGACTAAGGTGGAGTGCAGTCCCTTTACTCAAGTCACACTCCTGATGCAATTGAAAGAAAGTTCCCCTGACGGAGGCTTGTGGCTTGCTTCTTATATAAATGGACATTATGGGAACCGTGGCTTGCTTTTTGCTGATCTAGATCTTTTATCTAATTCATGGGCCTCCAGTACTTCAGACTTGAACCAATGACCTACCATATTGCCTACTGATCCTGGGACCAACCAGCAACCTGCCATTTGACCTACTGACTTTGGATTCATCAGCCTCTGCAGCCACCAGCCTATGGTGTTCTTGCCTATCTTGGGTTCATAGTCTCCAAAGTTATACAAGTCAGAAGCCTCCAGCTTAATATCTGACCCATGGACTTGGGACCAGACTGCACTTGCCTTCTGCTACAACTGAATAAGCCATTCTCTTGATATAAATAGCTCTTTCTCTCCTCACTCGGCCCCTATCTCTCCCTACCTCTCTCTCTCTGGTTTTGTTTCTCAAGAGAACCAAGCCTAATATAATACACTGAGGTTTAGAGAGAGCAAAGTTGTACAGTAAGAATGAGTAAAAAATTAAGTAGCTCATTTTCTGAGCTAGTCTTATTTGGTAAAATGAAACAGGAATCTCTGGGAGTTACTAAGAACTTTTCAGAGGCTCCAAAACTCAAAAACTATTTTTTAGAATACTAAGATATTACTTACCTTTTCCACTTTCATTCCTCTCTAAGTGACAGTAGTGTTTTCCAGAAACAGTTGGACATGTTCATTATTGTTCTGATAGCTAACTAACATGCATTTTTATATTCTTACATTTTATAAGTGCCTTGGTTTTAATATCTAATATAATAAGTATCAATATATGTAACACAAATAGACAGAAACCTTTTGTAGCCTTAAAGTTTTTTTACAGAGAACTTTTGTGCTGTGATCAAAAAGTGTGAGAATTTCTGTACTTCAGTGATACAAACTTGAATTATAATTGGCTTGCTAATATACTTGCTTCAAATGAACCTCTCAACCAAACTCACTGCCATCAAGTCAATTCTGACTCGTAGGGATCCTATAGGACAAGGTGGAACTGTCCCTTTGAGTTTCCATGACTGTAACTCTTTGCAGGAGTAGAAAAGCCTCATCTTTCCCTCTCAGTGCTGCCGAATGCATAACCTACTATGTAATCAGGACTCCTTCAAATGAACGTAAGGTAGAAAATTCTCCCTTTTTTACCAGGAAATGTTGAGACAAACGTTGTGGAAAAAATAATTTCTTCAGGAAAGAGAAAATTACTGTTTAGAATAAGTGGTAACAGTGGAAGATGATCCTTAGGATGAAATGAGGGAGGAACAAGGCAGATTGAACTTGGGCCACTGGTGAAAGAAATGAATGGAACCACATTTAGCTCATAATGGGAGAGGTGGGAGGGAGCAATGAACTTGCCCCCACGTCTGGCTACACTAGAGATGGTAGTCTACAAGCCAAGAGACACCTTTCCAAATCACTGTAATGACACTACTGGCTATATACTTGGAAACTACTGTTTAACCTTATAATAAACATAATATTCCAGGTATAGATGCTTATTTTTAAAAGAATTTTTTAATCAGCTAATATGACATTTTATTTACAGGGCGAAATTCCATTATGGATTGAAATCCTAATGATGTTAAATAGGGCTTAGGAGTCATAATTAATCAAGGCATTCAGAGGCTAACCTACCCTGAAACAATGAAGGAATGTTTCCTGGTTAGAGAGCAATATATAAACTCTTTCTATCAGGAAGCATGTTTCTAAAGATTTCCATAAAGTCTAGGGTATTGGTTGCTATGAAATTCTCGACAAAGACATTAAAAAAATAGTATTACGTTTTCTTGATGGGATAAAGAAAAATTTGGGGAAATTACTGGGGGAAAAAACAAGAGCAGAACAAAACAAGGAATTTAGTAAGGAGAGTGAATTCTTAAAATAAAAAGCAATGAGAAACTCCAAAACTTAATAACAAAATAAAAATCACCTGAGAAGAATACAAAAGTACAGTGAAAACCATGGCAAGAAGAATCAGAGACAAAGACTGTGAGATTACTCTGTTTGAACAGGACATAAGGGCTCTGTGGGACAACATGAAGAGAAATAATATATGCATAATCTGAATTCCAGAAAGAGAAGAGAGAAAACGAAGTCTAGAAGATATTTTTGAAGAAATAATCATTAAAACTTTCCCAAATCTGGAAGATGAGATTATCATCCAAAATGTTCAACAAGATCCATATAGGTTAAATCCTAAGAGAAATGTCCCAGGGCATATCATAATCAAACTTACCAAGTACAGAGATAAAGAAAGACTTTTGAGAGCAGCACGAGATAAGGGAAATGTCACTTACAAAAGAGCATCAATAAGATTAAGTGGTGATTTCACACAGGAAACTATGCAGACAAGAAGGCCATGGGGTGACATATACAAAACCTTGAAGGAAAATAACAACCCATCTAGCTCAGAAGTAACAAAGCCCACATGGAAGAAGCACACCAGCCTATGCGATCACGAGGTGCCAAAGAGATCAGTTATCAGCATCAAAGAACAACAAATCTTACCATTGTGTGCTCACCTCCATGATACGATCGCTGAAGACAAATGGGTGCATAAGCAAATGTGGTGAAGAAAGCTGATGGTGCCCAGCTATTAAAAGACATAGCGTTTGGGGTCTTAAAGGCTTGAAGGTAAACAAGCGGCCATCTAGCACAGAAGCAACAAAGCCCACATGGACGAAGCACACCAGACTGTGTGATCACGAGGTGTCGAAGGAATCAGGTATCAGGCATCATCAGAACAAAAAATCTTACCATAGTGAAGGGGGGGGGGTGGGCAGTGCGGAGTGGAGACCCAAAGCCCATTTGTAGGCCACAAGACATCCCCTTACAGAAGGGTCTCAGGGAGGAGACAAGCCAGTCAGGGTGCTATGTAGCAACGATGAAACATACAACTTTCCTCTAGTTCATAAATGCTGCATCCTCCCCCACTATCATGATCCCAATTCCATCTTACAAATCTGGCTAGACTAGAGGATGTACACCGGTACAGACAGGAACTGGAAACATAGGGAATCCAGGGTGGATGATCCCTTCAGGACCAGTGGTATGAGTGGCGATACTGGGAGGGTGGATGGGGGGGTGGGTTAGAAAGAGGGAACCTATTACAAGGATCTACATATGACCTCCTCCCTGGGGGATGGACAACAGAAGAGTGGGTGAAGGGAGACGTCGGACAGGGTAAGATATGACAAAATAATAATTTATAAGTTACAAGGGTTCATGAATGTATGGATTGTGACAAGAGATGTAAGAGCCCCAATAAAAGTATTAAAAAAAGAGAGAGAGAGCGAGCTTTGACTCTATCTTACCAAGCTTCATGGAATTTCTTCATCCTGCTTGGCTTCTCTTGATTTCGCCGTTTCCTAAACCATCTTTCAACCTGGCGCTCTGTCAAGTTACATTTCTTTGCGAGGCCATAAATATCAGTCTGAAAAAAATGATGAAACAAATTAATGAATATTAAAGAATAGAATCAGAAATGGCAGTAGACAAGAGACAGTAAAGCCAGGCCCTGAAAACTCGTACACTAGAAATGAGAGTTTCTGCCCCGAGATCTTAAGCCAATGAATTTACCATTTTTTGCTTATGAAATCACAGAATCCCCCAAAGTTGAAAATGTTAGTATACCAACACTCTGACTTACCAAGGTCAATTTTCTATTAAATTGCTAAACACATATTCAAGTTGTGTATGTGAGTTCACTCATTGTTCATTGTGTTCATGTTTCTAGGAGCCTGACAGCCTGATAGCAGAACACAGTACAGCCCCAAACCAAACCTACTGCCAGCAAGTTGATTCTGACTCACAGCAGTTCTGTCTAGGACAGGGCAGAACTGCCCCTGCGGGTTTCCAAGATGCTATCAAACCCAGGCTCCACATAGATGAGATGAGATGAAAGAGTCCACATGCTATTAATCAAAATACTAGCAATATAATGTAATTTAAGATTCAGTTTCTTAAAAATCCAAAATGTAACAGCTTCCTCCCTTGCAATAAAAATGTCTTTTAATATGATAAAATAATAATAAATTATAAATTATCGGGGGTTCGGGAGGAGCGGGGAGGGAGAGGGAAAAATGAGCTGAAATTAGGGGCTCAAGTGGAAAGTGGGTGTCGTAAGAATGATGAAGTCAACATATGTACTAAAGTGCTGGACACAGATGACGTATGTACAGATTGTGATGAGTTCTATGAGCCCCTAATAAAATGATTATCAAAAAAAATGTCTTTTAAGTTTAACCAGTTAGGGATGTTCTAACTCAGGAAGAAGGCAAGCAAGGCCATTAAGATAAGTAGCCAGTCAAAAAACACCCACCATAAGGTCTCTGGTGTGGGGCTGGGGGTGGGTGTCTGGTAAGGTCAGACACAGAAACATCCCTCAATTTAGATAAGCAAAGGAGAATGAGGCTTCAGGGAGTCATAGTCTAGTGATCCCTGAAGAAATGCAGGTATAGAAAATTCATTTTGATCATTAAAAACTCGTCTTTTTTGTCACATTGTTTTGAGTCCTGTGATGATTACAAAATCTGCCATCATTGTAAAGTCTGCTTTTTGTCACTTAGTTTAAAGTATATAACTTGTTTGACTTTCACTAAATTTTTGGAAGCAGATTGGAGGTAGAAACCCCCACTGTTTCCTTCTGGTTCTTGCTTCAGAATACACGTAAGAGTTTCCTAAATCAACTTGGCCTCTGTCTTTGGATGAAACAATGAAGAGCAATCCCAGATCCTTGTTTCCTGGCATCTATAGGAGAAGACTGAAACCTTAAAACTTAAAATGATTTGTCCAAAGTCTATAATTAGTATTAAAATGAGGACAAGAACTTAGACTACTGTGAGCTTTCTAGTAACTCCAGAGAAAATGCAGGGAAGGCTTAAACATGTGTTGTCCACCAACTTTCACGTTACATCAGATATAAGTACATTACAAACTAATTCAAAATTATTCCGATCATAAAAAAATGATTGCAACAAAAAAACAAAAAAATCAAGGTGATTACTTCTCTAGAAAGTGTTGCAAACTATGACTTAAAATTGACAACAATGATGATGGATTAGTTCAAAAGTCACAAACTCAAAGTCCCATTAGGGACAAATTGGAAACATAAATGACTATGTGGATCATGTCTGTTTCATAATAAATATGGTATTTTTTTTAAACAGACATGTTTTACATGTTAAATCTGAGATAAGGAAAGGAGTGATGGTGGAAATTTGGACAGAGCATGCTGGCAGTCCATAACAATATCTTGGAACCATAGTTCACAAGAACCCCTGCCACCCCAACTGAAGTTCCTGAGAATCTGTGTGTGCACAGGAACCCTTAAATGCTTCGTATGCATGCAGGGGCAAGAAATACTAAAGCTGGCCAGACCGCCTGGTCAATTTTCTTCCCCTCTGAAGTTTCTCAATGAAAAGCTCTGTGGTGCCACACGTCTTCCAAACAGAATTCTCTATCTTGGTCAAACAAGAAGCTGAATTCCAGCAACGGATTTAGCAAGTCTAGCTGGATCAAAGAAAAGTGCATCCTACTGTTTGTACCTTAAAGGCTCCGGAGGCCAGCGGTTAGTTACCACTTAAATCTGTAGCCAAAGTTCAGAAGACCTTGTTTATTGAAAAATAGAGTCTATGTATGTTACATGGTTTATAATTTATAGTTTTAAAACTTCAAGTCTTTCACAAGACATTACACAATGAGGATACTTTCAACAACAAAAAAACAGTTACCCAAAACATTTCAGCATTGTGTTTTAAAATCTTTTGTCTAACATTCCTTCTGACTTATAATTTTGCTTTTGCGTTGTTTTTTAAAAAATTTCCACGCAAATCTTTCAACTATATCTATTTATGTATATATTTTAATATGACGTAACCATGATTCCATCGAGTTACATGTCTCTTACAGTAAGCTTTTTGCCTTGTGGACCAGCTAAGTCATTTGACAAAATTTTTCTTTTCTTTTTTTTTTAAATCATTTTATTAGGGGCTCATACAACTCTTATCACAATCCATACATACATCAATTGT